TGATGATGAGGAAGACCAGATAGATAACGATGCTATTATGTTTGATGGATGTTTGGAGGGTCATGATGCTACGGGATTTGGTCCCCTTATCCTTACAGAGAGTGAGAAATCCTTGATGGAGAGGGTGAGGCACGAATTGAAGCATGAATTAAAGAATGTGAGACCTCTATCTCTCCTAGAACAAATCACTCTTTATAAGGGTGTGAAACCTTCTTCTAGCAGATGCGTTTTAAAGTCTTGAGGGAAAGTCCGAAAGGGAAAGTTGGGAAAACCCAAAGAAAACAATATCTACTTGCGGTGGATCTGGGCCATTACTCTCTCTCTCTGTATAAAGGAAGGTTTAATAAATATTATTTGAATACTAACTCTGGTTTGAACAGGGTTACAAGGAGAAAATTGTAGACATCAGGGAGGAAATTTTACGAAAGAGGAGAGCAGGTAAACTTCCTGGTGGCACTACGTCCGTCTTAAAAGCTTGGTGGCAATCACATTCAAAATGGCCATACCCTACTGTGAGTATCTGAATTTTCTTCGTTTCTAATATGCAAGGTCAATTACGAGCTTCTGCTGTTAATTTAATAGAATCAGAAATGTGTTGCTATGTACAAAGTAACGGAACTACGAGATAACCAAGTATTCAACGTACTTGGAACCGCCGTTCTCTTGTAGGCTCTCACTCAAGTCCCAAACGGTAACTAACCCAACCTCACCGCTAGTAGATATTATCAACAACTCAAGTCCATCGCTAGCGGATATTGTCTTATTTGAGCTTTCCCTTATGGACTCCTACACCCTTATAAAGAATGTTTCGTTCTCCTCTCCAACCGAGTGGGACCTCACATAAACCAAACCCACTGAATCAGAATGTTTCATTCTCCTCCCCAACCGACGTGGGATCTCACATAAACCAAACTCATTGAACCCAACTGACGTGGGATCTCACATAAACCAACTTTCTCCTTTCTCACTCTCTCTTTTATAACCAAATACCCTGACAAACTCCCTATCTATTTGTTAGGAATCACGGATCTCAACAATGGTATGATTTTGCCCACTTTGGAGTATAAGCTCTCATGGCTTTGCTTTTGGTTTTCGAAAAAACCTCATGCCAATAGAGATGTATTCCTTGTAAACCCATGATCATCCCCTTAGTTAGCCAACGTGGAACTCCCTCTCAACAATCCACGACATTATTTACTAATACTAATAGCATTGCGTCTCAAAAGAAGCGCATATTCATCATCTAGCCACTAAACAAGCAAATTGGTCGCAGTTGTGATGCTTTACTTTCTCCAATAACTCACTGCTACACGTTGTATTGATCTTCTGTTTTTTAGGAGGAAGATAAGGCAAAGTTGGTTCAGGAAACCGGTCTGCAACTGAAGCAGATAAATAACTGGTTTATCAACCAAAGGAAGAGGAATTGGCACGCCAATCCTTCAACCACAACAACCATGAAGACCAAACGCAAAAGGTATATGGCTACTGAGCCAAATGCTAGTCCAGAACTTGTGTGCCTTCTTCTAACCCAATTTCAAAAGAAGTAATGCAGGTGACACACCAGGCGACGACCATGAATAGCTCGAGAAAGAACCCGATCCCACGATTTCTTGTTGTATGCATAAGGTATAACCCAAACAAATTCGAAGCATTACTGAAATACAGTTCGTTACCTAGTGCAGAGAATGAAACTGGGACTTGAAGTGAATCTGTGCCATATAACTTATATGCTGAAAGATATGTAAATGGTGAAGGGGATGGATGGATGGATGGATGGATGAATGAAACTACACACAACATTAGAATTTAAATATGCAGATTTGTAGAACTTTGCTTTTAGTGAGATGCTGAAGAATTTTCTTGGTGAGGAATAGATGTATAGTGTAATAAGCTTTGTATGCTTCCTTTACACTCATAGTAGCCAGATTGTTTCGAAGTTGTAGTCAATATGGTCCAATTGAGTTAAATCTCTCTATAACCCATAACAAAATATCAAATCGATAGACTAGATACATTTTGAGGACGGGTTTCAAGTAGAATGGTCATGACAATAACGACTATGTTTCAATGGAAGTTGGGTCCCGTAGGAAGAAAAGGCGATGATATTCTCTAAAAAAACCTTTTCCCTCTTCCTGGTTGATCAGAAGCATCTAACAGCGCCATGTCGAGAAAGAAGGGTATGAAGCACGATTGGATAGACCATGGCTCCAACCAAATGGTTGAGACGCGACTCGAAGGTCTCATCCACTCGCCCATCATTCCTAGAAGAGCCGTACCAGGCAGAAGTAACTTAATGGTAATTTTGAACTTCTAAACTAAAAAATATATATGTCAATTATTGTTAAATGTACTTCTTTTATTATTTTGAGTCAACAAATATAGCTGATAATTATTTGAATCTCTAACCGTATTAACCTAATCTATACTAACCTATTAACCTAATCTATACTAACCTATTAACCTAACCTATGTCAATGAAGGAAAATTGAATTTAAAACCATAGTGTTTTTTGTTCAGAATAATTTTCATAAAATTGTTGATTAATATAATAATTGTATTGTCACTAATATGTTAATGTGAATCAAATCATGTATAATTGTCACTATTATAATATATATATATATATATATATATATATAAATAAATAAAAGTAATGTACATAAAATATGAATTGGGAAGAACGGATGGAAGTTATCGAACACTATTTGCATGATCGCATCATATCTCGCTTCTATTCATCCGAATCCCCAATCCCATCGGCGGTTCAGACGGCGGACTGTAACCATGGCGGCCACCTCCGCCGCCATCTTCTCCGATCCCGTGGTCAAAGTTCAGCGCATAACTCCTCGGATCATACTGAAACCTCACACTGCGTCTCTTGTTAACTATTCCGTTAATGAAGCTTCTCCACTTCGACCTAGCCATAGCTTTTACAATCTCCTCGAACCTCTTCACCTTCTTCATCATCCAACTCTGATTCACTTCCTCGTCGTTCTGCGGCGTTTGCAGCGATACATATCGGCATCGAACACTACTGTTCCGAGATAGCCTCGGTCCGAATCCGAAGAAACCTCCACTGGAGGAATACGAAACTCCGACTTCCAGATCCGATTCCTCCTCGATCCGGTTAGATCCTCTCTCCTCCAACCGAAAGGTTTCATCAATGGCGGAAGAAGAAGAAGAAGAAGAAAAAGACGCCATAATCAAAGAAGCAAAACCTCCAATCGCGAGGATGGAATTTAGGTTGTTTCAGCCGCCATGAAAGCAATTATAATCTGTTGCTTAGCCGAATCCGAATCCGAGACGAGAGGCTCCAAAACTTGTAAGTGCTTTATTATTGATTTCTCACTCTATTTTTGAACGATTAGCATATTCCAAAGATTTGTAAATAAAATCATAGATAAATTCAAATCTACTAAAATTTCCTAAAATGGTAATAGTTTGAATACTTTAAATCATATCTCAACTACTTTGAATAATATTGAAATGCTATTCCTTTGAAAAAAAACGTCCAATCAGATTTTGCCACGCACGCACCCGTCAAGAACAGTGCGCGTTTTCTACGAATCGAAACCATCGAGGGGTCCACGGTGTCAGATATTTACAGCCGTTGATCAATTATGCTTCGTACGCCGCAGATGTCAGGTATTATAATTGCTTCCTTCAAATTTAATTTTGCTATAATTATTTCTCATAATATTTTCCTATTTCCAATATTTATAATATACCTATAAAACCATAAATTTCCTTTTTTTTTTTTTTTGTGACTTAATTTGAATAACAAAAAATTAAATGGTTATTAAAATGAGGTTTTCAAAAGTAATTTTTATCATTTGTATAATTTAATAATTCATTATATAATTTACGTAAAGAGAAAAATATTATAAAAAAGTTTAATTCCGTAATAATGAATAAAACATTAGAATATTAGAGAGGCGGAGGTAAACCAAGCGGGCGTACTCTATGCTATGACCAAACACGGAAGAAAGGAATTTTAAAAGTTAAAGCTTAGAATTCTCCATTACAATTTACAACTAAGTTAAGTGAGCACACACTATTTCTATATCCAAACACGCCCAATTCCGAACTAACCAAACAAAATAATAATAATATTTAAATTTTTAGTCCGTTTAATTTTAAAACTCTAATGGTAATATTTAATCCGTTTCATTTTGATTAATTTTCTTTAGCTATTAGTGATCATTTTCTTAAAAAATAAACTTTATTTTATTTAAAAAAGAAGAGACACCGATCTTCAAATATATATGTATATATATTTTTTTAATTTAAATATATTTTTTATTGTGATGTCACAAGTTAGTTGAGGAGGAGAAAAAACAGCCATTTATAAGGGTTTTCCCGTAGGAGACACGTTTTAAAGTCTTGAGGAGAAGCCTGAAAGGGAAAGCTCAAAGAGGACAATATCTGCTAGCGGTGGACCTGGGGTTCCTAGTAATGGTATCAGAACCAGGTTCTGGACGATGTGTCAGCCTTCTCGCTGTTTCTCGAAGGGGGGTAGATAATGTGGCGGTGTGCCAGTAAGGACGCTGGGCTCCAAAGGAGGTGGATTTGGGGACGGTCCCACATTGATTGGAGGAAGGAGAGAGTGTCAGCGAGGACGCTGGGCTCGAAGGGGGTGGATTGTGATGTCCCACATTGGTTGGGGAGGATAACAAACCACCATTTATAAGGGTGTGTGGAAACGTTCCCATAGAAAACGCGTTTTAAAGCTTTGAAGGGAAGCGGAAAGGGAAAGCCCAGAAAAGATAATAAAATTTTTAAAATACTGTATTTAAATAAAACATCCAAATATTCCATTTTTACTTTAAATTTTTAATTTTATTAAATTAAAGCTAAATTAAAAATATGATTTAATAAGTTAAGTTTATGAATATTTTATTTCACTTTTTATTTATTAAAATTAGTGCGTGAATTAGTTATATATATTGTTATATAATTTAGAAAAAAAAACAAAAAAAAAAAACAGTTTTGAAGTGGAATGGAGCAGAAGATGGTTGCAATGGCTCGAAGATCTGAACTGGGCTGTATGGCTGACTGTTTATTTTGTGGAGTTTGTAACAATCCCAGCCGCCGCCCGCTCCAAGATCCAAATCTGCATCTTATTAATTGTATAATTCCAAGATGAAATTTAATCTGGTCAGCCAATTTCTGCAGCGACGACTTCTCGGGAACACATAGTTCCTCCGTCTCTGCTTTGAAGGGAATTGATATGGGCAAATTCATTTGAGTTGAGATTCGAATCGCGAAATGGGTTGCGGGAATTTGTTCTTCTTGGTTCTTGTAACCTTCTCCGTAGCCCTAATTACCTACAACATCATCATCTCTGCTAATGCCCCTCTTAAGCAAGAGCTTCCTGGTCCATCGAGATTTTCGTCTTCCATTACTATCGACCCTGTGATTAAGATGCCGGTGGATAGATCGAAGTCTTCTTCCTCCAAGCGACTGTTCCATACGGCCGTCACTTCCTCGGATTCGGTTTACAACACTTGGCAGTGTCGGATCATGTACTATTGGTTCAAGAAGTTCAAGGATGAACCTAATTCTGAGATGGGTGGTTTCACCAGGATCTTGCACTCGGGGAAGCCCGACAAGTATATGGATGAAATTCCCACGTTTGTTGCTCAGCCTCTGCCGGCGGGAATGGATCAGGTACTAATTTATATGGTGTTCTGTATGCTTTGAAGATCTTAGGGGAAGGGTTTTTCTGTGATTCTGTGATGTGCTATCTATGATTTTGTTTGTGCACTCCACCTGTTTGATAAAATTCCCCTTAGGAAATCCCAAGCTAGTGTTGAAATTGTTTGATTGTAAACACCCCGGCTAGTGAAATAATGTCAAATGGGCAACAATTCTAATGGAATTCAGAATTTTCTATCTTGGATTTGTTTCCTAGAGCTGAAATTACCATCTATTAGCTGCTCATCTGTGGTTTGAAACTGTAACAGGGCTACATAGTCCTCAATAGACCGTGGGCGTTTGTGCAATGGCTTCAAAGTGCGGACATCAAGGAAGAGTAGGAGGAACTTGATTTTTCTGTTCTAATTGACTGATGGATCAATTATGTTTTACCTTGAGTTTAGCCTGATTTTGTTTAAAATGATGTTTTATAGTTACATACTCATGTCAGAGCCGGATCATATTATTGTCAAACCTATACCAAATTTATCTAAGGATGGGCTTGGGGCTGCATTTCCTTTCTTTTACATTGAACCCAAGAAGTATGAGAAGCAACTACGGAAGTTCTTCCCTGAGGACATGGGTCCAATTACGAACATCGATCCGATAGGGAATTCGCCTGTTATTGTTGGAAAGGTATGCAACACCATGCTTCTAAGTGATGACATTAGGATTCTTCTCACCTATCTTCATTCTCTGACTCTTTCGATTAAATTTTGCTAGGATTCTCTCAACAAAATAGCTCCCACTTGGATGAATGTCTCCTTGGCTATGAAGAAGGATCCTGAAACTGATAAGGCTTTTGGATGGGTTCTTGAAATGTAAGCTTTTCTCCTTGGAGGTTCAATTTATCTTCATCACTTCCAACCTTGACTTCTTTCCTTTTCATTTCCATTCGTCTTCCTCTTACATCGTGACTGCAGGTATGCTTATGCCGTTGCTTCCGCTCTACATGGTGTTGATAACATTCTGTATAAGGACTTCATGATTCAGGTTCTAAGAGAAAAGCCCTTTCTGTTTCTTTTCTGTCAGATTATCTTTTTGTATACTGCATAACATTTGTATCCATTCTCAATGCTATTTGATAACTTCATCTGGGGAAGAAGCAAAACATAATTAGCTTGAATTAGGGATAACAATTTGAAATCTTTTTGCCAAACCACGTGATATCTTACCTAATTCCATTTAGGAAACATGTGAATGTAGGAAATGAGGGACATTGGCCTTTCATTCTCCTAGGTGATGGATATCCTGATTTTCTCTGTTAGTTAACTTTTGGGACGTTGTTTCTTTACAGCCACCATGGGATACCGAAGTTGGCAAGAAGTTCATAATCCATTATACTTACGGATGTGACTACACTATGAAGGTAACAAAACAATGTCAATTATGTCGTACCAGTCTCTCTCATCGATTTACATAGCATGGCTTACCTTCTGTCTATCTTGTTATGTCTCTGGAATACAGGGAGAACTGACTTATGGGAAGATTGGAGAATGGAGATTTGACAAAAGGTCTTATGATAGTGTCGTTCCCCCAAGAAACCTTCCCTTGCCACCACCTGGGGTACCCGAAAGCGTGGTACGTGTCCTAACCTTTGTCCTATACAGCTACCATGGTTAACTTGGTACAGGAAGTGTATTATGATTGAGTAGTTCTTAATGAATTTAAAAAATTTCAAACACAGTCTAAACTTCTAGTGATGACTGAGAGAACATTTTCCATTAATGCATTTGCAGGTGACACTGGTGAAAATGGTTAATGAAGCCACAGCAAACATTCCTAACTGGGGATCGTAAGTAAGTTTGGATAGATGTGCTCGAGAAGTATGTTGACCCGGTACTTAATTTGATTCTTACACAATATATTATACGTTCTTGGATATGTATCAATTATCTCGTATCTGATTGTAGGCATATGTATCAAATCTGTGTAAACGTTGTTTGGTTTTTGTGCAAAATAAATAGGCTAGCATTCTCTTCAATTGTCTTGTGAAACATCATGAATGTTGAATATTCATTCCAAATTCCATGGCTAAACCCATGAAACAATCAGGGTTGATTGAATCCAAATGCAGTAGAATATGTATGCAAAAATGAAAGTTCATAAGAGAGGAAATGTAACGACCCAGATCCACCGCTAACAGATATTGTCTTCTTTGGGCGAAGGTTCATAAGAGAGAGGAAATGTAACTCAGATCCACCGCTAGCAGATATTGTCATCTTTGGGCTTTCCCTCTCGGGCTTTCCCTTTTGGGCTTCCCCTCAAGGCTTTAAAACGCGTCTACTAAGGGAAAGTTTTTACACCCTTATAAATGGTGATTTGTTCTTACTCTCCAACCAATGTGGGACATCATAGGAAAATACCGAACCCATTATCGTCGGTGTGCTTCATTCCGTTTAGTGTCAGTCATGGCTCCGAAGCACTCTAGTTTGCTCATGAACCGTTTGAAACAATTGTGGCAGGATTATGAACTCCAGCCACTTCTTTCATAGCCACAGTACCAGCTCCGCCCCCTTCCAAGCCATGTCCATCGCCCTTTCGCTCACATGCTAATCTTAGGTTGAAGCCCCTTAATGCCATTGGCACTAATGTTGGCAATTTCTTGAAACATCACACTGATCATTAGGTAATCTCTTAAAGATAAGTGTAGTTGTCACCCAACGCTTCTAGTAAGAGAGCATAGCGAGAGAAAACCTCACCTTAGCATACGCATTTTAACAATCTTAAGACAACATTTGCTGGTGGTGGGTAGATACCATGCTTGCACCCATACCACATACCACCAATCCATCTGCCTCTTTCTTCTTCCCATAAAAATCTCTGTCAGCAGCTTGTTGACAGGTATAATATTTGGCATCCACCAATGCGTTAATTTAACAGCTCAGCCTCTGCTTTCTTTTGTTGGTTGTAAGAGTTCCTAGTTCGTCTCTTATACCTTTTGATCCCAAATCACATTGTTCTTATTGTTGAAGTTTCACTTTGTTGGTTGTAGAGTTCCTAGTCCGTCATTGAGTTATTGCATTCTCGTCCTTAAATTTTAAAATATCAAAAGTTCATATTGACTTATTGATATACATGTAACGAGCACTCGGTGGATAATGTATCAATTTACCTTCACCACACAATCATTGAACTTCCAAGATGCATATATTACACATTCAAAATCATGTTGTTAATAATCCATTATACCACTGATTTAAAGATATTGAAGACAACAAAAATAGATATTTCAAGCTCATAAACCAAAACAAATTAAAATTGTTTAGAATGGAAATAATAATCACAAGATTTTAGACATCAAAATGAGATTTAACGTATTAAAGTGCTTGTAGGAAGACTCTGCTTGCACATACCCCCATCTGCCCATGGCCGCTGGCCCTCCAGTAGCAATATTTTTATATAATTAAAAATCGCTACATTTTGAGTATAAGAACACAATAATTAACCAAATTAATGCTAGAAAAGATCCCCTCTAATGCGGTTAACAAGAGCCATCTCTAATGCTAGAAAAGATCCCCTCTAATGCTAGAAAAAATCGCTACATTTTGAGTATAAGAACACGATAATTAACCAAATTAATGCTAGAAAAGATCCCCTCTAATGCGGTTAACAAGAGCTATCTCCCTTTTCAAGAAATTAATTCGATAATTTTTAGGTATTCCAAATTGAGAACGAGTTCAGAACTACTTCCTTTAACACACAAGGGGATGGCAAAAAAAAAACATGATTTGAGAGACATCATACAGCCACATTTCAATTTTTCTCTCTTTTGGTTGGATAAAACAAGAACGAGGGCACTGATGAAAATAAGCAAAACTTGGGAAATCAAAATTGCAGTAGTATCACAATAATGGAAAACTCAGTTAATAAATAAAGTGACAAGATCATTTAGCTAAAGAAAGCTCATGCTAACATATTATCCCCTTCACATAAACAAATACTGGACTGAAAATTCTCGACTTAAATACCGGTGAAAGCCTTCTTACCAGCTGTGGATGATCCAGCAGGAATCACTTTTAATACATTAAACCTCACTGTCTTCGACAAAGGCCTGCAATGATAGCCGTTCATTAAGAAAATGACTACAATCAAAGGCACAAGGGTATAAGCAACAAGTATCTGTATAATAAACCTGCACTGGCCAATGATGACGTGGTCTCCCTCTTTCACCCTAAAGCAAGGAGCTATGTGTGCTGGAATGTTAGAGTGCCTCTTTTCGTACCTGAAAAGAGAACTCCCTCAGGATTCCCGTAGGTCGATAGGATAGGAAATAACCAAAGATAATTGGAGAATTAGTCTCAACCTTTGATACTTCTTCACATAGTGAAGATAGTTACGTCTAACAATGATGGTTCTCACCATCTTGGCACTGTGGCAGGTACCTGCCAGTATACGCCCCCTAATGGAAACAGTGCCAGTGAATGGACACTTCTTATCAATATATGTTCCTGCAGAAGAAATACTCTTCAGTCTTCAGTAAAACTAAGAATTAAGAGGATAGAACAGAAATCCATATGAAAACTCCACAATTTAGCAATTTCTAAAGTACACCTGCGATATAATAGCAACAAATATACACTGTATATGCTGAATAGTCATAGCATTGAATCCAATACGGACTTTCAAATGAAGGAAAGGGAAGATCCCCATTGTATCATTAGGGAAGATCCCCAATTTGTACCTTGTTAAATAACTATGACACCTGAGTAAAAGAGGGGTACATGAATGAATCGAGACCACATCTGAATGAGAGTGATCCTAAGGATAGAATGACTAAGAAAAGGTTGAAAAAGAATTGAAAGTCACTACCAACAAGGTGCACCTTCCTATTCGCTCAATCATAAGACCTTCATAGTTAAGCTAGTTTTACTTAGAGCAAAGAATTTTCCTAGGATGCATGTGAGTGAGGACAAAACATATTGGAAGGATTCGTGTTGGGTTGTGGGTATAGTCTTCACTTTTGAAACAAGGAACAAGTAACGTGATCATGTCGCAGGGATGTACGGAAATGTCGGGGTCATTAGGTGTCAAACCCAGATTATGAATCCAGGGCATGGGAATGCTAAACCCAGATTATGAATCCCGGGCATGGGAATGCTAAATGCTGATTCTTGAATCACAAAATGGTGTAGATAACATTGCCTAAAGGCTAAGTGCCGACAATGTAATATTTGGAGCTAAAAAGAAGTTGAACGGTAATGACACGGGCCAATAGTTAAATGATGTCTTCATGCCCCCTATCAGAACTAACATCCAATTAAAAACAAATACACGCCAACTGCAGATTCATTCAAGTCTCGTGAAATTAAAATAAAAGACATGAATTCAGGCAAAGAGAAACCATCTTCTCAGCCAGATTATAAGTCGCCGACACAAATCATAGAAATAGAAGGAAAAAAAAAAAGCAGGAATCCTTCAGCATAGCAGTTTATATGGGCGAACAAACTCCAGAACAAGCAAAGTTAAAACACCGATCTGAAAATGAAGAGGTTAAAACCTTCAATAGCCTCTCTTGGAGTTTTAAACCCCAAGCCAATGCTCTTCCAAAACCGATTTCCTCCTTTTCCTGGCCTCTTTCCTTTCCCCGATTTCTTCGAGCTGAAAACATACGAATCAAAGTACATACAGTAACATATTAGACAGCAAAAAGAATACAACCTTGCCAGCATCAAGCGAGACATTCAAACAGGCATCACTAAGCGAAACTACACAATAACCAGTCAAATTTCTCACCTAAGAAACACCTTCGGCTGCTTCAGAAAAGCCTTCTCCGTCTGCAATACAAGCAGAACAGAGTTTCAAACATGCAAGCGCCAATTAGACTCGATTCAATGTATGAAACAAGCGATAAATAACAAAATCCATACCTGTTCCGCCATGATTAAGGTATCGAAGCTACGATAGACGACTAAGCCGCAGAGTCTGATCCAAAAGAAAAACCCTAGAGGCAGCAGAGAGTGAGGAAGATGTTGTGAGACGCTTATGAGGAAAGCCCTAAATAACAAAATTACCATAATACCCTCATCTCTGTAATTTTTATTTATTTACTATAAATTACCGACAGGTAAATGAAAAACTTGTTTCCTAGTAATTTTAAAACACGTGGCACCAATTGAAGTGGTTGTTGAAATCAGAGAAGCTCTTGGTGCATCACGCGCTCTACATCGTCGTAGCCGTTAGATGGGGAATCAAAATCGTATGGCCCACCATATTTGCATAAAAGCCCTCCAACTATCCCATAATTACGATCCGGCCCTCCCCCTTCCCACTCCGACCTATAAATACCACCGCCGAAACAAATTCAGTTTACCAAAACAAAACCCGAAATCTCCATGAACAACGAAACAAGCGGCCCTGTTCTCCGGCCACTTCCCGCCGGCGGCGGCGGCGGATTTAACTCCACGTTCTTCCACAACCACCGTCGATCTGCTTCTTCTCGAGTGAACATCTCTTCCTCTCCCATGTCTCACTCTGTTCGATTTTCCCTAGGTCACCGGTCCATCGCCGTCTCAAATCGGAACTCGCCGGTTTCTCAGCCGTGTATGTGTTCGCCGACGAACCACCCCGGCTCCTTCCGGTGCAGTCTGCATAAAAATGGCGGCAGTAGCCGACACCATCAGACGTTGTCGGCGTATTCGTCGAGGCGTTTGAATATGCGGCGGTCTGCAATGACGAACTCGCTCGTGAGAATCGGTGGCGTTGAAGGAGACTTGGTCAACCGAGCGTTGACTGCTTTGATTCGACCTTCTTCGCACCAACAGCGACGGAGAGCCAATTTTCAGTCGCGCCCCAGCCGGCTTTCGGCCATGTCCGAAAATCATAATTGAATAATAATATTATAAATTTAAAAGAAAATTCTAAGTTATTTTTTAATTTTTTTAAAATAAAAAATATTAATATAATCATAAGGTATTTTTAAAATATAAGTAGGGATTATATTTTCTATTAAAAATTTTAAAATGGAAGATATTACATAAAAGAATAAGTACTAAATATTTATTATAATTATACAAAAAAAAATTTAATAAAGAGATTTGGTATTTGGGCCAGGGCTATGTGGGCCTGGGGTAATGTGGGCCTGAGGTCATATGGGCCTGGGGTAATATGGGCCGAATCAACCCAAAGTGGAGCCGGCAGAATCGGGAAATTTTGAAATTTTGGAGAACTCAGAATGCTTAAAAGCCGATTGGAAGTCAGTTCATCGTCATTCGATCTTCTTTTACTCACTGATCTCACGACTGTGTTTTTGTTTAATTCTCTGACCTTTTTCGTTTTGATTCAATCTGTGATCGTCGTAGTTGCTGTTATGGAGAATGTCAGAAGAGCGTCTCATGCTGGTTCGTGGTATTCCCGCAATTGTAAGTCGCCTTCTATTACTCTCTTCTTATATGAAACAAATTCGAACGAGTTATGCACTCCTCTCTCTCTGCTGATCAATCTGAATTTTCTGGTTCTGTGTTACTCTGTTCATCTGGATTAATGCGAGTTTCTGGAAGGCTGTTGATTATTCAAATTTTGATATACTTGAATGCTAGGAGTTTATTTGTTTGTTTGTTTTGTGGCTGCCCAGCTGCGCAAGGCAGTTTGTGGAAGTTTTTGAATTAAACTTATATGGGAGAGGGATTTTTGTTATGTTTGAGAAGTCGGGTTTTATTGGTGGAACACTGAGGGGGTACTTCCAACTCAATTGTTGTGAAGAAAAAGCTGGGAGAAAGATATTTTGAACTTCAAATTGTGACCTGGTTGTTACTTGGCCTTAGTTTCTGCTTTTGCAAAAAAATGATAATCTAACAATGTTTAAGCATTACACTTTTGATTTACTTCCACTATAGTTAGATAACCGGTGTTTTAAAGTCTGTATGTGAGATCCCACCTCAGTTGGGGAGGAGAACGAAACACCTATAAGGGTGTGGAAACCTCTCCGTGGCTGACGCGTTTTAAAAACTTTGAGGGGAAGCCCAGAAAAGACAATATCTGCTAGCGCTGAGCTTGGGATCACAAATGGTATCAGAGTCAAATACTGGGCAATGTGCAAGCGAGGAGGTTGTTCCCCGAAGAGGTAGACACAAGGCAGTGTGCCAGTAAGGACGCTGGCCCCGAAGGGGGTGGATTTGGTAGAGGTCCCACATTGATGGGAGAAAGGAATGAGTGCCAGCAAGGACGTAGACACGAGGCGGTGTGCCAGTAAGGACGCTAGCTTCAAAGGGGGTGGATTTGGTGGGTGTTCCACATTGATTGGACAAAGGAATGAGTGCCAGCGAGGACGTTGGGCCCTAAGGGGGGTGGATTGTGAGATCTCACATCGGTTGGGGAGGAGAACGAAACACCCTTATAAGGGTGTGGAAACCTCTTCCTTGCATACCGTTTTAAAAACCTTGAGGGCACCTGAAAAGGAAGGCCCAATGAGGACAATATCTGCTAGCGCCGGGCTTGTGCCGTTACACTCTATCTGACCAAGTAATTCTTGCTCGTACTTCTAAGGATACTTCTAAGATTTTGAGTCATACTTGGTGGAAGATTAAACTTTTATTGAACAAATAAGTAGATCAAGACCTCCCACTGTGATCCAAAGTATCCTCATATACTAGAGGTCATGATTTTAACGAGGAACGTTGCTCTACATAATCTTAAATACACAACACTCGAATGGAATAACGCTCCATTGCTCGAAGACATATCTTTACTTCTTTTGCATTAACCTTTATAGATCTTCCATGACATGGGGAGGGTATTCGTGTTTGAGTTTCTTTTTATTGTGCAGTTTTTATAATTTGTTGTGGAAGTCAAATGGATACTAAATTATGATACCTTGGATTTTCTCTCCTTCTAGCTAAGAAACTGGCAGAGGAGCTTGATGGATGGCTAAGGGCATCAGGCCTGTCTAAATCCCCAGACGTACGCGGTGTAATTGCTCCGTAAGTTGCCATCAGAAATTTTTTCTAAAAAGACCTATAAAATGTAATAACTTTGATATATTTCGATTTCTGTGGAACCACAGGCATGCTGGTTATTCGTATTCAGGACGTGCTGCTGCATATGCATTTGCTAACATTGATCCAACAACCATGTCGGTTTATGTCCCTTTTAATCTCTACTTCTTGTCTAATGGTGAACTCTTTCCAGAACATTTTATTATGAATTCTTTGAAATCATTTCAACATAACCCTGTTTAAGCCGTTTATTTGTTTGTTAGATTATTAAGCGGCTACCAGCTTCTTGCTATACTAATATATGATGCTTATATTTGCAGTTCTAGGATCTTTCTTCTTGGTCCATCTCACCATTATTATACTAAAAAATGTGCTCTTTCAACAGCCACTATTTATCAGACCCCTCTGGGTGACCTTCCTATTGATGTGGAAGGTATTCTGACATTTAAAGATTTTATTGTTAGATTACTTTGCATGAACTTGCTATTAGATTACTTTGCAAGCTTCTCCAAAAGGCCTCAACCAATGGAGATAGTATTCCCCACTTATAAATCCATGATCTTCCGCTAAATTAACTAATGTGGGACCCACTCCCAACAAAGTACACTATGTAAGCCTCCCCTGAGGCTTATTTAGCTCTCGAATAGCCTCCCCTTAATCGAGGCTCGACTCCTTACTCTGGAGCCCTCAAACAAAGTATACCCTTTGTTCGACACTTTAGTCACTTTTGACTACACCTTCGAGGCTCACAATTCTTTGTTCGATATTTGATGATTCTATTGACATGGCTAAGTTTAGGGCATGGCTCTGATACCATGTTAGGAATCACGACTCTCCACAATAGTATGATATTGTCCATTTTGAGCATAAGCTCTCATGGCTTTGCTTTGAGCTTCCCCAAAAGGCCTAATACCGATGGAGATAGTATTCTCCACTTATAAACCCATGATCTTCCACTAAATTAACCAATATGGGACTCGCTCCCAATAATCCTCAACACTTGCATCCATTGAAATTTGAAATAGTTGTCTGATTTTTTTTAATTGTTCTTCTAGTAATATCTTCATGTCTTTTTCACTTTGGCAGTCATTGAGGAGCTTAAAGCTACAGGGAAATTTGAACTGATGGATATGCTTGTTGATGAAGCTGAACACAGCATGGAAATGCACTTGCCATATCTTGCGAAAGTATTTGAGGGGTAATTTTAGTTTGACCTAATGATTATTATGTATCATTCTGGAGACCTTCTCTTATAGATAAAGATGCAATCATGCAGGCATTCAGTGAAAGTTGTACCTATTTTAGTTGGTGCTGTTTCTGCACAAAGTGAGGCGATGTACGGACGCCTGCTTGCCAAATATATGGATGATCCAACGAATTTCTTCTCGGTATCCTCGGACTTTTGTCACTGGGGGTCTCGGTATGTTCGAGTTGCTTCTTTTTTGTTTCATCGATGCATTCTCTGCCATTAGGTTGTTACGTGTTGGATAATGTATCAAGTGTTGAATTCTTCAATCTTACATAAATGGCTTTCGAACTTATTCACCGTCTGAATTTCATCTGATGTGCACTCATAGGTTCAGCTACATGCATTACGACAAGAAACATGGGGCAATATACAAATCTATTGAAGCTTTGGATCACATGGGCATGGATGTAATAGAAACAGGAGATCCTGAAGCATTCAGAATGTATCTGCAGGAGTATAACAACATCATTTGTGGTCGTCACTCTATCAGTATATATCTTCATGTAAGTTTCTGAAAACACTTTGAAACACTCCAAAACGAGTGTGAGATCTTACATTGATTGGAGAGGAAAACGAAACATTCACTTACAAGGGTGTGGATCTCCCTAGTAGACGTGTTTTACCTAAAGGGAAAGTCTAAAGACGATGATATCTGCAAGCGGTGAGCTTGGGCTGTTACAAATGATATCAAAGCCAAACACCGGGCGGTGTGCCAGCGAGGACACTAGCCCCAAGGGGGTGGATTATGAGATCTCACATTGGTTGGAGAGGGGAACGAAACATTCCTTATAAGGGTGTGAAAACCTCTCCCAGTAGATGCGTTTTAAAACTTTGAAGCAAGGGATATTTTTTGGTTCCATTGCATCACTCTGCATCTGATGATGAATTGCTTCTATTTCACCAGATGTTGAAGCACAGCTCAACAAAAATGAAGATCAAATTCCTTCAATACGAACAATCCAATCGATGCCAGACGATGCGAGACAGCAGTGTCAGCTACGCATCCGCTGCAGCCAAGGTGGATGCTTGAATCTCTGTGAATTAGCAATTAACTTAATTGCCTCCATTGCAATTTCATGCAGCAATTAACTTAATTGCCTCCATTGCAATTTCATGCATTTTACTTGATCGAACCGCCATCGTCTTAAATTATATGTCAAGTCTCCTCTGTTAATATCATTCCTTCATTCATTCAACTTTCATTGTTGATGTGTTATTCTAATTCATTCATCAACTTTCATTGTAATCTTCTTTGGTTAAAGCATTTTCAATTGGGTGAAGGGAAAGAAGAATTTCAATATGATTTCCAACTTTTAAATGTTAAGTTCCTTTCATTAGAAAAGTTTTCCTTTGTTCAATATGTATAACCCACATATATATATATATATACACATATATTATGTTTATATCCATTATATAAACCTGTTCTTTGTACTTGAAACAAACCAAACAATACAGAACCACCACTCAGAAGCTGAGTGAGCACAAATATTAACAGTAGCAGCGTGCTGAATTTAAACAATTTATTTGGAGCCAATGATATTCTCTTCAGAAACGAAAAAAAAATCAATGTTTATGAGGAAGGAGAAAGAAGAAACTGTGATATTTCAACATACATCCATAAACATGTATCAAACTAATTTTTACTTTCTACTATTAACAAGAGGGTATTACTA